TTTGGCCCCAAATTCCTAAACGTTAAGGCAATTACCCCCAAACTCAAACCCAGCTTTCCTTTTGTGATATGGAACCTTGTAGTACAATTCCATAGAGATCCATCCACTTACACACAATTTATTGTCCTGAAACTAAAAAATGCTTGTTTTTTGCCCCTTTTTTGCCCCTAATTCCTCAAATTTTGAGGCAATTAACCCCCAAAATCAATTCCAGCCTTCCCTTTGTGGTATGGTACCTTGCAGCATAATTTCAGAGAGATCCATACACTAGAACACAAGTTATTGTCTGGAAACTAGAAAAATGCTATTTTTGGCCCCTTTTTGGCCCCTTATTCCTAAACGTGTTGGGCAATTACCCCCAAACTCAATTCCAGCTTTCCCTTTGTGATACGGAACCTTGTAGTTCAATTTCAGAAAAATCCATACACTTACACACAAGTTATTATCATGAAACTAGAAAAATACTTGTTTTTTGCCCCTTTTTTGGCCCCTAATTCCTAAAATTTTGAGGCAATTACCCCCAAAATCAATCCCAGCATTTCCTTTGTGATATGGAACCTTGTAGTACAATGTAAGAGAGATCCATAAACTACCACACAAGTTATGTCTGAAAGTTACAAAAATGCTTATTTTTGGCCCCTTATTCCTAACTGTTGGTACCATAACCCCCAAAATCAATCACAACCTTCCTTTTGTGGTATTGAACCTTATGGTAAAATTTCAAGGAGATCCATTCACTTAAACTAAAGTTAGAGTGCGAAAACCAATGTGTCTTCGGACGACGACGACGACGACGCCAACGTCATACCAATATACGACCAAAAAAAATTTAATTTTTGCGGTCGTATAAAAACCCATGGTTTAATTAATAATTGAAGGCCTTTACACTTTCATTTTCTAATAATTAATAAGAAGCTGCTTTTGGTTAACTCTGTTACTTTTTGCATCCAATTAAATGATTAATCATTATGATTCAATAAAATAATGGTTTCATATATATTTTTAGACTGAAGAAAGAGAGATGTAAAAATGTGAAACCTATGAAATGAGAAACTCAAGACCTGATTTCTGTGAACAACCATACACTAAAGCTTAAACTTAAAATACATTATATTTTGTACCGATAAAGTTGATAAAAAGTTATAAAAATTATACCCAATTTCTAATTTACAGGATAAAAAAGTATTCCATATACCATCAGCTTGTGCGTCAGCAATAGTGTTAGGACAGCACGATATACACGGATATCTTATTAATGTAGGTAGACTTGAATTAACACACATACAGGTTGTCAGTAGCTATCTCAGAATTGTATCATCCTCTAATTAATAACAATACTAGGCACTTTTAACTTTTTCTACTTCAACATCAACAATTTTTTTTAACTCTACAAGAAGAAATAGTGATGTTAATATTGATCAGACTTAACTGTAGAGTTACATCTTCTGTCATACATACAAAAAAATTAAATCAAATTAGTGATTAACTACGAGAAAGGTAAATGTGTATTATTTTTCACAGGAAGAATTATCTAACTACAACATCTTGATTGGAGCCATCATTGAGTCCCAAAATCATTGGACACTTTTAGTGAGTATACCCCAATTTCCATAAACTTATTAGTGAAAGGTAATAATAGTACTAACAAAATATCTAAGTTTTAAAAAGAAAAACGTTCCCTATGGTAAGCTCTAAGTATCACTGGACCAATCAGAATGAATAAGATTTCAAAGCTTCCTTAAATTGAATTACTTTAGAATTAAAAACTATTTAACAAACATCTAAGAAATGAAGGTTTGAGTTAACACATTTCATATATTGACCATAACAACCTCAACAAAATAACTAATGCCAATTTTTTCCGTCCAAAAACCTGTTTAATAAATGTATATGTTTTGTTTTGCAAGGCTGTTTATCCAATGGAAAAAGTTCTGCTTTATATCAATCCATTGGAGGAAATACAAGAGTAAGAGACATTGAAAGGAAATGGAGGTAAAATATCTATAATTGTAAGAGATGAAAACATTGTTCAGAAATAAATAAAAAATAAGAGACTTGTTTAACATAATTCTGCAGTATACTTTATGAACAACCATATGGGTATTAGATATGTACTAACGAGGTTATTACAAAGGATTATAACATGTTAAATCATAAATGTAATACCTGTATCTCAAAAAAAAAACACAACAAGAGTCAGTTTAGACATTAAACAGCCATGCAAAAAAAGTATTGCTACCAAAATCCTTGAAGTATATTCTTATTCGAGAATAGAGCACCTTAAGATTGTATGATATGAAAAATGGCATGTAATGTTATTTTTATAATATACTTCAACAGAAGACATACAGATAAAAATCTTTTTTAAAACTTTGAAAAAATGCTTTTGTTGTAATATTTATTTTGCATTTTTTAATTATTTATTTTCCTGATTCCTAATAATTTTTTTATGTAATCAACTTTGGTATGTTTACACAAAAATTTGTACCAGTGAGGTATATTTTACGGAATTTGCAGAATGACGTAGAAATGTCATCCGATAACGTTACAGTAAAGCATGCGATAATAACCGGAAGCAGTTGATATGAAACAAAAGCAGTTGATATAAACCGGAAACAGTTGATAACAAAAGTCATATCACACGGCTAAGGCAATTATTCAACTTTAATGAAAAAAAATATGTACAAAGAAGTTTTATCATGGGGTACAATTAAACCATTACTTTCTATAAGTATATGATAATTATATATATATATCATAGATATTTTGTGGAAGGCAGAAACAATGAAGGTGTTGCTGATTTGTCCGGTAACTGGAAAATTCAGACAGTAAATCATGAACGACAGAAAGATTCCACTTCATGTGGTATTTACGTCATTAAAGTAAGAATATGTTTGGTACTATAATGTGGATAATTTCATATGCATATTTCCCTAATGGGGTGATATCACATATTCAAATATTCTGAGGTGATCATATCCATTATGAGGTGTTATAAAGACAAGAATTGCATTTATTAGATTAACAAGCATTCTGAGAGTATTGCATGGCAATACATAGTCCCCTACCGGTTAAAAATTCATTATACTGGAACAAAATGCTAACTTGTTCTATAACTTGTCATGGTGTAAACAAATAGAAAATATCAAGTCAATATCTTCAAGCATCACTAAAAACAGTGTGGAAAACTGAATATATGAATCCAAGGACCATAACTCTGCACAAAATTATCAGACTGAAAGAAAAATTTAAACTTGATCTGTAACTTGTCATGATAAAACTATATACCAATTGTCAATCAATATCTTCAAGCATGATGAAAAAAAGTGTGGAAAACCTATAACACTCTAACATTAGATATTACGTAATACAATGTATATCTATTTTCGAATTACAATCAAATATAATTAATAGTTCCAAATATTTTTTTTCTTTCATTTGTCACAAACTAATATAGATTTGTAACTTATCTATAAAATGTCAACAACTTTTATCTACACAATGTAATGTAATGAAATATATACTTTAATAAAAATAGATTATTATCAATTAAAGGATTTCACTTAATAAAAAAAAAAATATATATATATATATGTAGCATTCAAAAAATTAGTTTATACAAAATAACATATAAACCTGCAACAAAATTCCTCAAACAATTTACCAAAGAATGTCTTTTAAAAAATGAGTTATCTCCCTTTGTACAGATATATGGTTTAACATAGTACTCTAACATTAGTTATGGATTTTTTTTATGGACCATAACTCTGGACTTAATCATCAGACCCGAACAAAATTCGAACTTGATCTATAACTTGTCATTATAAAACTATATACCAAATATCAAATCAATATCTTCAAGAACGAAGAAAAAAAGTGTGGAAAGCTGAGTTGCCGGACTGACGGATGGACAGACAGAGTGCAAACCTAAAGTCCCCTTCGACTTCGTCGGTAGGGGACTATTAAAATCCTCATATTTTTTTAACCATCTATTTGAGAAAATGGTATGTGAATTTTACCTGAAATAGTTGAAATTGTGTGAAATTAATTATTTTACTTTTTGAGTATGTGGTGGAAGAGTCATTCAGTGAGCTTTTGTGACTGGGAATCTGATATAGATTTAGATGTAAACTATATTATACCTATTTGCTTTAATCTTGTCCTTCCAATGTCTCCTTTCATGGCTTATCTCATATATCATCTTCTTCTTAGTTTGCAGAATCATTGATATCCGGTGAGGATTTAATCTTTAATGACGAACAGGGCTTTCTACAAGATGTTCGTTATGGAATCGCCAAACAGCTACTAGATGTTTCTGGTAAGTAATGTTGTTTGTAGTCAAAATGTTCATTTGAATAGAAAAGAAAATATGTGATGTTCTGGTCAAATACCTACTTCGCTGAAAGAGAAAGAGGATTTAGCCATCACAAAATAAAATGTTTCTTGCTGTCAATGAAATGGTTTGAAACATGGTATATTAATATTAAATATGCATTCTTCTATTTTCATTTGATATTACAATCACATGTTTCAAAGATTATTTTTATGTATCTGTAGCCGTGTTTCTATTTTTACTTATATTGACTCTATGATTCTATTTATACGTATATTGGAGGTCAATATGACAATATCTTGCTAAATTTAAATGTATGACAATAAAAATAACAACCAGAGTAAGCTCTGCAGCAGTCAGCATGCACTAAACATTTCAAGAGTTTTTTTGTAGAATGCAGACCCTAAGAATACAAGACAGCTAAAGCAACAATCTATGAAGTTGTTAAAAAATATTGATATTTTCAATAACATGTTTTATTTCTTTCAAAAATACAATTTAAAAACATTGAACGCCATTTTCCTAATACATTATTAACATATGTAATATAAATTAGAAATTAAGAACTTTCACTCTAATAATATATTATATATGGACCTGTTAGATTGTATTGACAATTGGACTTCGTAATTGGTTAATTTAATCTGAACAGGTCCATATGTAACATATTGACCTCATCCCAAGTCCATAATTGATTAACGATTCTTCATTGCAGAAAGTATTGAAGGTACATGTTGGGCATGTCAAAATACGGCAACATTAACAGGATTCGTAAACTGGGTAAAATGTGTAACCTGCGAAAATTCCTTCCATGCAGTGTGTGTTTACACCAGCAGTAATTTAGGCAGTGAGAATTCAGTCTTTCAGTGCTACATCTGTGTCAGATTGAAAAAAAACCAGGTATATATTGTTATGTTTTACGGTATGCTTACATACTGTTGCAGTGCACATTATCAACACTGAATTTATATTGTTAGGTGACATTTTGGTGTTCTACTACCAAGAAAACCTCAATTAACATCATTTTGAGGTAGATTTTATTTTTAAGTCATGTTACCTTGTAAAAACAGATGCACATGATGTATTCTCTATAGTTTTAATTTTGATTTGCTAAAGAGTTGAAATTGGTACGTCATTTCATTTTGTTGGTAAGTTTTTTCATAGGCAACCAGATCACAAAAACTCATTTTTATATAGATTATTGCAATAATACAAATAGCTAATAGCTAATATTTGTACCAGTTATTAGAATACAAGTTTTAAAAAGCGTAAAATAAAAATAGTCATAAAATGTCATATAAGGCCAAAACAAATATATGTCTATTTACGGTTACCCAACCGACCCTAAGTCATTTTATTTTCATCGTAAAGTGAAAAATAAACTGAACTTGTGTAAGTTAGTTTTGCCAATAATATAAATCAATTTTCTGATACATTTAAGTGTTCACAATCGTGAATATGATACCTGTTTTAAGAAAATTCGCGACTGGTGTGATAAAATAAACACTTTGCGGCCATTTTTGTTCCAAACAATAACAAAGGAAAGTAATTCAATCATTAAAAATATGGCTTAACTCGGCCCATAATCAAATTGAACCAAGAAATGAAACAAAGGGCATAGCTCAAAATCATGTCACAAAAAAATAAAATGAAAAAGAAATTAAATTGGAAAACCGACCTACCTACCATATCTTTTTGAAGTATGCAACCTTAAACACACATATATTTTTATTTTGGCTTATTATTGCTTACTTATTACCTCTATTTCAATTGGTATTGTTTTTCAGCCAAGTGTAACAAACTCCCACCCGAAAGAACATGTTGTTCCTAAAAGGAAAATGAGAAGACCCAGGTTTAAAAAAAATACCAACCAATGAAGATACAATGCAGGTACTGTAATCAAAAATAAAAATATGATATACAAATTAACTGTTTACACAAAGATATGTTAAAGTTGTATTGGTTATTTTTAAAAATTCAAATATCTAAGTCAATAAACGATGGCTGCATGGGCAATATACAATTGCAAATAAAAATGTATACATACTAACATGGACATTTCCTACACACATGTAGGTAGTTCACAAAAAACAAAACAAACATAACAATTTTTTTTTAGAATTATTATTCAAAATGTTTGAAGTTTGTAATAAAAGAATAACCAAATAATCTACAAAGATAAAAATGTGTCACAGAAAATATTTTCTACGGTGTAACATCCAATTATATGTAGATTTAAACAAATGCATTGTTTGTTGTTTTTTTTTCAAGTGAACAGCACAGCTATTAACAGCAATCACAACGCACACTGGCTGTTTCAAGGAACTAATGCACAGGTACTGACAGAATATTGATAAATATACTGCAGCTGTGCTATTTGCGCAGTCAAATTGCATTGACCGTATATTCATATGTGATATACAGTCACTGACCGTATATCACTTTGTTTGTGACTTTGACAATGCGTTTCCGTACACATTGGATGATATGGATTTGTTAATCAAAGGATCATCAACAGTAGGTGAAGAGACTGTAGCAGAGATGGTATGTATAATTTAACAATGCATTTATTCATTCAACTGATATAGTTCATTACATAAAAAGCATTCTGACAGTTTTGCATAGCAATACGTAGTCCATACTAGCCTGGCAATACACAGTCCGTAGCCTGGCATCGTAACCAAATCTAATACTTTGTCAAAAGGGCCAGGCTTAAAACAATCCATATGACCAAATTTCATGCTTGAACAGAAACTGAATTACTGAGCATGCACATATTCTATAAACAAGAAATATATGTACCTCTATGGTCGGGTTGTTGTCTCTTTGACACACTCCCCATTTCCATTCGCAATTTTATGTACCGCATTGTTAATCAACTTGTGAATCACACTGTGAATTAATAAATAATATTTTGGATAAGATTTGCTAAATTATTCAAAATTTGCATTTTAAGCAAAATAAAAAAAAAGGATTTTCATAAAATTTGTTACAATACAAATATTTCCTACATTGTTTAAAAAAACTCACTATCCAATCATGCATCATTCTAACATCCAATTAACAAAACCATGTCGTTGTAATCTGCATTGCTCTACTACTAACTTGATCTGTAACTCCTATAAAATCAAATCAAATCAATATAGACGTGTGCAAAAGTGATTATTTGAGTGAGTTTTTAAGTCCAAGGACCATAACTGCAGAAAATCATCTAACCAAATCTAAACATATATTAACATCTGTAATTTTCCATAATAAAACGCCAATAAACGAATAAAAAATTCAAGCGTGAGGGAATAAGTGCCAAAAATTGAATATTATAGTGAAGTTTCTAAGTTTGAAAACCATAAATCTCGATAGACCAAGTGCAAACATTATAAAAAATATTTCCTGTTTTCAGTTTGAAACTTATGTAGAAGCCGGACTGAAGGAGGTTATGGAGATAAGAAATGGATGTACTGAGTAAGTTAATAATTCAATAAGAGGGTACAAATTTTCAGCATCTTAAAATTGTTCAACTTGCAATATAATGATATGGAAAAAATATAGTAGCATTTTAATTAAACTTTGATCTATCTGTAATAAATTTTAAAATGAATTCAAGTAACTATTTATAAGTAAATTCATTTCAGAGGATTAACTTAAGTTTGTTATGACACAGGATTAAATATGTGTCAAGATAACAGGATTAAAAATGTGTCATAATAAAAGTTGTCGATTAATCATATCTAGTGATAACCAATTTATTTCATTTAACAGATATCATAGTCCCCACTGGAGACACATCAGGTTTGTCAATAATATTCCACTCGTACATCACATTGAAATGCGGAATGATGCTGATGGAATGGGCCGTAGGTAGGGACTCTGTGGGAACGTCACGTCAATAAACTCATATCTGCCGTAATGCATAATTGGTGTTATCGACGTTGGTAAAAATTTCAAAAAAAAAAATGTTTTCATTCGATGTCAGTTAAAAATAAAATATCACAGGATACTTGAATTTTAGCTCTTCAAACTAGGCTACCCCCCAAGGGTGACTGGGGAATAGAAGTATGGTCACCATTGGTCTTCCTCCGACCGGCAGTAAAACCCGTGCTAAAGTGGGGCGTCCGTTTGGCTGTGCGGGATGTACAAATTTGCAGCCACGTCCGGTCAGAATGGGGACGTTAAATCCGATGCCTCGTGTAAAGAGAGTGCCACGCTCTTTGCACGTTAAGAACCCTTGCAACAACTCTTTGAGGGGTCCGTAGGTGACCTGTTGCAAGGCTAAATTTCTGTCCCTATCCAATATACCCTCATTTCCCGTGGCAGTCTAAATTTCTCCGACCTTAATCCCTTAATCTATTACAGAACCTACCTATTGTATTTATTGTGAACTTGTTCTCGTCCTGAATATGCATGAAATATTTGCCACTGGACGTTAAGCAACCAACAATCAATCAATCAAACTAGGCTAAAAGTTATAGACTTTACCCTTTTGTATCTATATTTCATAACAATGTGAAAATCGGTAATATTATCAACAACGTTTATTTTTCGCTATCATATGCAACAATTTGATATCCTATCGGGACCTAGCGCTATTTATAGAAACGTAAACAGACATCAAAATTTTGCATGCATCATTCTGAAGTTGAGAACAGTAAAATTTTGTAGGTATCCTAATCCAATTTCCTCAATAAGGTGTCTAATTTTGAAGAAAATCAACAAAATTTTGAGTTTTCACCCGAAAAGATACCCCATGTTCACATATTTTTCAAGGATTCATCGCTCCCCGCAATCTACAACATATTATCTTTACAAAAATGTCCAGTTTGTGTAAATGTGTTACGAATTGACGAGGCGCCAGTGCGTCAAAGGCGGTAAGGTCCATCATTAAAAAAACCAAAATAGCGCCGTAACGTTAGATTTATTCACTGTTCACATCATCATGCAGTCAGTTAAACTTTCAATTTCTGCTAAAAAAATTACACTCGAACGTAATGGTTGCGTTATTCACGATCCATTGTTGTCAATTAATCAGATTATAAATTCGAATACATATTTACTTGCACAAATACGACAAAGATTCGCTCGAAAACTAACTTCATGAAATATTGTCATTATAGATACCTGATAAGGGTTAATTCCCTTTGTTTATAAAAAAAAAATTTGAGTTTCTGTGCAGGATATTCTGTACACTTGAATTCACATAACTTAATAAAAATTGTAATGCAATAGTAAGAGTTAAGTATAAATAATCTATTTACTCAACCAATTAATACTTTCCTTTAAAGAAAAAATATATTATTATAATTGAATTCAAACAAAATATGCAATACAAGCGACGTAAACATTTTCTATTTTAAAAATTAGAATGGTCCAGGTTTTGTAAAAATAAACTATACCCCCCCCCCCCCCCTCCCCCACACTTTTCCAAAAGAAAAAACAAAAACAAAACAAATCAAACATAAAACAAGACGAAAAAGAAAAGTCAAAATGATTTAACGAAAAATTAAAATGAAAATAAGCAAAACAAGCAAAAAAGAATTAACAATATCATGTTTTATCTTAAAATAATATGGATACAAACAAAATAAAAATAAGGAGATGTGGTATGATTGCCAAAGAGACAACTATCCATCAAAGTTCAAATGAAGTGGATGTAAGCAATAATAGGCAACCGTACGGCCTTCAACAATGAGAAAAAAAACCCATACCCTATGGTCGGCTATAAAAGTTGTTATTGATTATCCTCAGTTATTACCATTCAGTATTGATTAAATTTGAAGGAAACAAGTATAATATTTATAATAAGCATTTGATTCAACATTGAATTTGTGTCACAAAACACATACTACATGAAACACGTCTTCTTTAAAATATTACACTTGTATGAAATTGAACTGATCTTTACTTAAATCGATCTTAAAAAGACCAGTTCACGTTTACATTTGCACAAGCAAGATCGATCGAGATCGATCTTATTTAATCTAGTGCGTTTACAATGCAACATAAACAGAACCGGTCTGACCTGATTACTTTACATTTCGTAAACAAATAATCGTAAAAATAGAATTGAATAATAAAGAGTGCATTTCGTGCGGACTATCACACACTGCAAAATTATGGAGAAAATAGTTGGATCATTGGAATTTCGTATGCAGTTACAATTATCTTTTTGGTACACACGTCACAAGTCATTAAACAAAGAAATGCGAGAAGACTATCACTTAAAAACAAACTGTCAATGCCTTTGAAGATTAGGATTTACAGCAAAGAACTAGAATTTATCGATTCAGAAGAATGATGCAAAAACGGCGGATTCTTTTCCCATCCATCGTTTTTAAACACGTGTGTTTTTGCCGCCGAACATGCGCATATTTATTTTCATATCTAAATATATCATTCACTTGAAGAAAGATCGATCGAGATCGATCTTAGCGTTTACACTTGAAGAAAGATCAATCTTTTTAAAACCACCTCTGGAGGTGGACTTTTTAAGCCCGATTGAAGATCGATCTTTCCCGTTAACATTAGACGAAGGATCGATCTTTTTTAGATCGATCTCAAGAAAGATCGATCTTTTTTAGAAGTGTAAACGGGGTCTTAGAAAGTTACATAAATGCTTCCAATAAAAAAAACACTATACCACTCACTAAATTCATTTCGAAATTTCAAAATTGCTGCACTTATTTGAACCAAGCGTATGTCAAAGTGTTGCATGTACATGTTTAAGATCTAACAACATAAATATCAAGTTGAATTAAGATTTTTTACCACGATACAGTTTATATTAATGTGATTTAGATTTACATGTAACAGCGTTCATTCGTAATAATAATATTTTTAAAACTATATATCCCTGAAAATCTTCCTTTCAAATTATATATATTATATATAAATTAAAGAAAGTTTTATTGAATCTAGCTGTATTTAACCCAGATGTAATGTTTCTAAGCTTGAACATTTTGTAACCTGAATTAAAAATATGCATGGCTATACTATCCCTTTTTCAAACGAAATTGTTGGCCCAGGTTTTTCGGATGTAAGACCCTTATTGAGGTGGCTATACTTTAGCTGTTTGGTATATCGGATGCATTAAATACGAAGCAACAGTATGTCAACTTTGAATTTGAAGCCTTTTGTTTGCGGAGAGCATTTATCTTTCTGCACGGCAAATCCACATACATACTTAACAATCCCGCCATAACGTTTGAAGTCTTAATTTCCTGCCCTTCATTCCGCGATCGTCTATTTTTGAAGACCATTAATAAATGAATAATTTGATTTGCTAACTTATTGAGCATATATGAAATGTTTGCCACTGGACATTAAGCCAATTATAATTATAAACCACATATCGTGTCATGTATAAAGATTAATCTACAGATGAATAAGAGTTTCTTAGCTGGTTTGACTCCTTCATGTGAAATAGTTGTCGTTTTCATCCACCACCACACGGCCGGATTTATTCAAATACATGCATTGTAATATTTCGATTAAATATTTTAAAAAAATAACATCTTATTATATATTCAACAAGTTTTTTTACTTGGGGGTTACAAATTTGAAGTATTCTAGAGTCTAAATCAATACATATTTAAGATTTTACAAAAAAATTTACAAATATCTATCTATTAATTCAAAAGGTTATTCAGTGCTATATATTGTTGTAGGGGACAGTTTTAAAACAGTATGTATAAAACAAAATATTATAAAATGATATTCGATATTTGGCATTGAAAGACATCCTTAAAATAACTAAAATGATTTGTATCTGAAAAACAAGAGGGAGCGTTACTTTGGAGTTTAGTGTGGCGTCCATTTCGATGAACTAGTATATATTATTATTGAGGGGGCCAGCTGAAGCCCGCCTCCGGGTGCGAGGTTTTCTAACTGTGTTGAAGACCCATTGGTAGTCTTCGGCTTTTTTCTGCTCTTTGGTCGGGTTGTTGTCTCTTTTGCCATCCCCGTTTGAACTTTCCATTCTCAATTTTATTGGTTTTGGTAAAGTATGCTATTCTTCTTCATTGTTGTGGTACAAATGTACATGTGCAGACTTTTAACAATCTACCTTAGTTGCAGCTTCGACCAATAATTAGGTGATATGTTTTTAAAGAAATGTCATAATGTTGTGGTTAGACCTTCAAAGTATACACAAGAAGATACCATACTCTAAATATTGATAATGATGAAGACTCTTTGGAAATTGTCCGGATGTCTAATATATTCAGGGAAATTTAGCTTTATTTTTTTTCAGAAGAAGATACCAACATAATAATATCTAAACATGGCCATATTAAATTAGATAAATTCATAACATATAATGAAATTGTTCATATTTTAAGTCCATATTTTGAATTGAATGTATGAAAGAGTGCCTGTACATATATATGTTACGTATATACAGGCCTGTGTTATTCTCATTTTCTGTACATACAAGACATGTACAGTAGCATGTCTTCATCCTTGAACCCCAAAGGTGACTGGTGGTATAGACCACAAGTAAAACCCTTGGCAAAGTGGAGCATCCGTTTGGTTGTGCGGGATGTGTGAATACACAACCACGTCCGGTTAGAATAGGGACGAATTGAGGCCTCGTGAAGAGAGAGTACCACGCTCCCTGCACGTTAGGAATTTTTGCAGCAACTCTTTTATGGGTCCGTGGGTAGCCTGATGCAAAGGAGAACATTCATGCCTTATCCATTATACCCACATTTTCAGCTTGTGACTGTTGAAATTCCCCTCCTTTTCCCCGGTCGATCCCTATTACAGAACCAAGCTATTACATCTATTTTTATTTTGTTCTCATCCTGAATGTGTTTGAAATATTTGCCACTGGAAATGAAACAAACTGTCAATAATTTTTTTATC